TTTTTCTTCGTAAACTGGTTTTAATGTTTTGATTGTTTAATCTCATTTTAACTTTTGTATCTTGTGGATTTTTACTGATATGATTTTTAATTTGTTGTAAGCCATGCTGAGTTCTGGATTGGGGAAAAGGCAGGATAGTAATGATAGAAGTGAGGAGAAGAAGAAGAAGACTTTCAAACACACACTTAACATTTCATCTTTTTTAAATAGTTGATGGTTCGAGCCACAGGATTCCTGTAAATGATTCATATTTTGTCTGCTCATTCATCTGCCAGGTGGGCTGCACTTTACAACTATGAGGAAGGACTGTATCTCAGTGATATTAGCACAAGCTTTTCATGTGGAAAAATCCAGGTTCAGTCCCAACCATCTCTTGCTCAGTGACAGAATTCAAAGATATAGCCATGTTAGTCTGCAGAATCAGTATGTAGAGAGATCTTGTAGCACCTTTGAGACTAACTGAAAGAAAGAAGTTGGCAGCAGGAGCTTTCATAGACTTCAGTCTACTTCCTCTTCGGTCAAATGCATCTGAGGGAGTAGATTTAAGTCTAAAAAAGCTCATGCTCCCAACTTCTTTCTTTCAGTTAGTCTCAAAGGTGCTACAAGATCTCTCTATACGCTGCTTAATGACAATGAGATTCTGGAAAATCAGAGAAGACTACACTGGGATGGGTGAACAAATAATCTGACTGTGTATAATATGGCTTACTATTTACCTTGTAAAACATGGTTGGTGATCAAAGTACTTTTCTGCTCCATTCGTAGTCTATTAGCTGTTATTAAAATGCTAAATAGTTTTCAAGGCTTCTTGGAAATGGACTCAAGGGAAGAAGGCATCTATTTAAGCAAATGCTTCAGTGCTATCTGTCAGAGAGATCCTGTGCGTTGAATATCTTGCACAGAGCGGGGGGTTGAGCTACATAATCTCCAAGATCCCCTTTTAAAACTCTCTGATTTAATGTGCTTCAACTGAAATATCTCATTATTCTTCTGGTCCTCTTTATAGCAGCCATGGAAATCCTAGTAGTGTGGCAGAGAGGTTGGACTTCACATTTAACTGTGGAAGTCTGACATTTTTCTGAAGATATGTGTATGTACACACAGAATATGACCAATCTTTCTTGGCAGATAATCAGCTATAATCTTGAATATTAATTTGAACTTCTTATTTTCTATGCATTTATTATTTTTAATAATAATAACAAGCTGTAACCTACAAATAGGAGGCTCTCATTTGTTGGTTAGATAAGATTTCACAATTTATAATGGCCCTTTCCTGCAGAGTAAACTGGATTTTCCCAAAGGCTCATTCCAGTGAAATAGGTGTTACTGGATAGAGTTAATAATGAGTTAAAGTCTGACAATATCTGGAGGGTCACAAAAAAGGGGAGCAAAAAAAGGGATAGTGTCTTGAGAATTTACAACAACTATTTAGTGGTTTGTTTAATCTGTACTAATTATGAAAGCATATCTAACTTAAAATCCAACCATTCATTTCTTATTTCCCCAAGGGCTACAGAACATTGCCATCAATAATGAATGGAAGCTTTGAGAAAGCGTGTCACAAATGCATCTCAAAAATTGCCAGCAATGGTAGGTTGCTTGGGGAAAGAGGCAGCAGCGTTTGGGGAATCTGCTATGCTACAGCCATGTTTTCATTTTAGACCATATAACCCTGTTTGGTGCTTGGGTAAATATGTGAAAGCAGTACCTCTACCCACAAATAATTTAGAACTGGATGTATGGTGTGGGATGCATGGTGGATTTATTGTTTCCTTCCAAAGTGAAAGCAAAGTGAATTTTACTTTGAATCCAAAAGCTGAAATGCTGCAACGGTGTGACAGTAGTGACTTCCACACTAAGGACTTTATCACATGGAGGAATCCTGTGCAGAAATGGGGTTTTAAATAGGAAAAAAACCACAAAAGTGTGTAGATTTTCAGACGACGTCGCTGTTAAAATGTGGTTAACCCGAACAGAAAGTAGTCAAAAGCCGCTTCTTTTTATTTTTGGAAAATCCCAAAAGTAAAAAGGAGCAGCTTTTGACTACTTTCCATTTGGGTTAACCACAGCGATGTGTGTGAAAATCAACCCACTTTTGTGAGTTTTCCCCCACCTTTAAAATCCTGTTTCTGCACAGGATTTCCCCCATGTGATAATGTCCTAAGATCCTATAGCACCCTGCATGGGGAACATTAAGTTTCCACAAGCACTTAGACTGCATCTACATTGCAGAAATAATCCAGTTTGATACCAGTTTAACTGCCGTGGCTCCAAACTATGGAATCCTGGGATTTGTAGTTTTGTGAGACATTGAGTCTTTTCTGTCAGAGCACTCTGGGCCCCCAACAAACTACAAATTCCAGGATTCCATAGCATGGAGCCATGACAGTTAAAGTGGTGCCAAACTGCATTATTTCTGCAGTACAGATGCAACTTCAGTAACAGATGTAACACTGTGGTTCCATATGGCCTTTAATGCAGCAATGCTCTGTAGCCAAACCCCTTCTATATAAGGTTTATCTGGTGGAAGTAAATTGTGTAACCTGAAGAGGCTTATAACTTAAATTAGTAGAGTCCTCTTTGCAGGCTCTGGTTTTAATCCCTCTAGTATGGTCAGCATATTATTGCTTGATAGCTGCTAAGCGGTTCTTAAGTGCCTCATTGTTAATCCATTCTTGTTCTCCTGTGGTGGGATGTAAATAATAAGTTTTCCTCATTTTTCTTTTTTCTTTATTTTACACTCAACTGGGTCTGTTTTCTCACAAAAGGAAAATAATAAGAAGCAACTACAGGCTGAGTACCCTTTATCCAAAAAGCTTGGGACCAGAAGTGTTTAATATTTCAAATTTCCCCCCCAGATTTTTGAATAACCTGTATTTGCACATACATAATACACAATACACAACACACAACACAAGTAGCATAGAATGTACTGTATTTTTGAGGCTGGAGATAGACTCATGATCTGTGAAATGTAGTGCTTGATGGGAATCCACGCCTTCCACCATTTCACAGATATTTGGATCTCTCTTCAGCCTTGCATCTTATGTGATGTATAAGACATGAGACTGGAGAGAGATTGAGGATTTGGGAGACAAATTAGTCTTTCAGATGAGTCTCTCTGGCACAGCAGCCAAAGCAGCCATCTCAAAGGTTGAAGTCGGTGGCTCGTGGCAAAAAGTTTTGACTTTTGGAGGTTTTCATATTTTTGGATTAGGGATGCACAGCCTGTAGTAATTGACACAGAGACATCCAACATTTGGTAGAGTTTTTCACCTTTTAAATGATTCCAAGCCTTTAACACAACTCTGATTTCCCTAACAGCTTGCTTTATTTTTGGACTTCTTGCTTTCCTAGCATTACCACTGTCTATGG